GAACGCGATACCCCTCGTGCCAAAGCTGTCATGTGTTGTTGTTGGATCCTTTTCTGACACGTCTGGCCTGGTCAACAGGACGTTTTGAAGATAAATTTCTGAGTCACGACAAGTTGCAGTTGGCATGTAAGCGGGCTGGTCGTGGGTTGGTTTTGGGCCGATCCCCAGCGAATTCGCAGGTTTTGTAGCAGGTGTTGGAGGTGTTTTGTACCGCCCTGCTGGCGGATGCAAAGTGCAATGGCAGGGCCGAAAGGTTGGTACAGAGCTACAGTCTATCACGCAGTTCTATGGGAGAATGGGCTCGGAGAAGTGAGAGCGCATTGTCAGCGCTGCGGAAGTTTGTGGTGAGAATTGCATTTCACTAGGAGTCCCAGTGGTCTCAGTAGTGTTGAGTTGAAGGGGTGCAAACACCTAGTGGTGATGCACTGCATGACTCATCATCGCATCCGCATCACGGCACAAAACCTCATCACGTGACCCTTGTCACACCTGTGAAGCTTCCGCCCACCGGCCCTGCGGGAGTGCAGTGGTCTCATACACTTTCAATCCTGATCGATATGTGAGTAAGGCTTGTGCTGACCAAGCTCATGGATGGAGGCCTGGATGTGGTAACTTGAACCCATCTTGTCGAGCGCGGTGCGAAATTGTAAGATCCAAGTTCAGATCCTATATATAAGACTTTTTTTGGACTTTCTTTGCACAGGCCTGCTCTCGAGGTGGAATGCTGAACATCCAGAAGACTCCGTTTTGCCGGGTGACCGTGTGGTGAAAGTGAATGGCGAGCCGCTGCTCGGTCTCCCGATGGTCGAGAAGATCAAGAAGGCCCAGCTGTGGATCCTAGATCCCAAGCCAAAAGCAAAACAACATGCAAATAGCGCCACCCGCATTATAGTCCAGAAGTCTGTAAAATCGATTCGGAACGCCCGCGATTCTACCACATGTCATTGATTGGTTTGGTGCCCTTCTGTGCATGTTTCTCTTTTTTACCCAAACAGTTTACTTTTGAAATATATAAATCCAGATCGGCATATTGCATTAGGAATGTTGAAGGTAATGAGTTGGCCAAGCCTGCCACTGTTTTCGCTCAGATTCGTTTGATGCCTTCTCGAGATCAGTGTTGGGTTTTGGTGCTTGCTTTCGTGCTTCTGGCATTGGGGCCAGGTGTGTTTTTGAGCATGCTGCGGTTTCCGCCTTCCAGGCTTTTCTTGTACAGCTTCCCGCTAAGGGACCACTTCGCAGCGCTTTCCCGGATTCACTGGCCGATTTGTGTTGATGCAGATCATGTTGCTCCCATACAGCACCCTCTTACAGGCTGTTTCCGCACTTAGGTTCGTGCACGTCCAGTTCCTCTTCCCTTTTCGTTCGCTCACTTCGTTCGTAGATTGCCGGTTAGTGTCTCACTGTGGTCAGGCATTAGTCTGGGCCTGCGATCGTGCAGCTTGAAGAGGAAAAAGCAGTTTACTGTTGGGGTTCTGGAAGAAAAGAAGCTGGCCGCAATCTCTGGCCACGCCGGTGAACGCTGTGTCCCGGTGTTGTCCTCCTGCTGTCCTCTTCTCGTCCTTCATCTGGTGTGCAGCCTGGCCGCGGCTGCCAGCCGGTCTCCAGACATTGTCCTCCTCTTGTTCTTTTTGTCCTTTCTCTTTTCCTCCTCTTGTCGTTCTTCTTGTCGTCCGGTTGTCCTCTTCTTGTCCTCCTGTTGTCCTCCTTTTGTCACGTTCTTCACCTCCTGTTGTCCTCTTGTTGCCACCGGCTCCAGACCATGTCCTCCTGTTGTCCTCTTTTTGTCCTTTCTCTTTTCCCCCCTGTTGTCCTCTTCGTCTCCTCTTGTCCTCCTGTTGTCACCTCGTTGTCCTTCTTCTGGTGTCCAGATGACAGAATGGCCGCATGCAGACATGACGCCATGACAGCGTGCGCGCGCGAAGCACCGGCCCCAAAGGGTCCAACGCGAGAAGACAAATGCACACGCGCAAGGGTTGTGTGGCAGTGCGAAAGCGCTAGCCGGCAAGCGCGAAGACCGCAGTACCGCAGCATGGCCACTTGGCAGCCTGTCAGCATGTAAACATGACAAGATGCGAGCGTGCGCTACAAAGCAGTGAGGCACTAGAATCGAAAGACAGCTCCGGACGGCAACCCCAGAAACCGATGTCCGGATGTCCTCCTTTGCTCCCCTTGTCATGATCTTTTCGGCCCTGTCCTCCTTTGTTCTTCTATTGCCTTCCTGTTGTCCGTTTCAGGTGTTCACTGGCCGCGGCTGCCAGCCAATCTCCGGTCGTGCTCCTCCCTCATCGTGTTGTGTTTCACTTATCCCCTCTTCCTCTTCTCCTGCTGTTCTCCTCTTGGTCAGCTCCCCTCATGTTGTCCTGTTGTCCTTTTGGTGTTGTCTGGTTACAGCTTGTCCTTCTTTTGTCCTTTTGGTGTGTTCATGTTTCTTTCTTTCTGGTCCTCCTCATGTCCTCCTCTGGTCTTTCTGTTGTCCTGCTGCTGTCGTGCTGTTTATGTTGCTTTCCAAGGCAGGGGCTGGGCTGCGGCCGCCCACAGCAACAACTCTTGCCGACTAAGCTGTTTGGGGTCTATGCTTGTATAATTTCATTTTTGAGACCCCAAGGTTCTCAGAAATCCATGCCGCCGTAGGCTCCACCACAGACAGTTGACCACTAATGAGCATGTGCATTTTTCCTTTGGTGTGTAGGAGAGCACGCTGCGCCTCACCGTCTTGCGGTACTGAGAGATGACTCAAGCAGAAGATGCCCAAAGATTGTACACACTCAGACTTAGGGCAATTGTCACAGGTGTAAAACCAACAATTGTCGTTCCTCAGAGATCTCAGGAAGTATAGCAGCAAAGCGCTCAGTAAACTGCATCACTTTACAAACCAAAGACAGGAGTAGCAAACAGTACATTATATAATGCACGTCATATAAACTTGTTGTCGTTTGCGGCAACACATTGAAATCTCAAATGTAAAGGCTTCTTTATTTAGGATCAGCGTGATTGTGTTAGCGAACGTTTCCAAACAACACAAATACCAGTGACAGTGATAGAGTGAACATGCTACTCTGGATTGTTGGTGACCGTGACCTTTGGACATCAACATTGCAATGAGTTGCAGACTTTGACACAAATTTGTGCAAACCCTTTTGCCTGCCCAGACACCGAGCCTGGCTTGGGGTCTGTTTCACCACAAGAAACAGATGCGTCGCTCCTGGTCATCTGTTGTTTCAGAAACAATTTGAGAAATTGACCAGCCGCGCCAGAAGAAGTGAAGGAGCGGATTTGGACAGTGTGGCAATCTTACCTCATTGGTGTGAAAGCAAGGACCAAGTTGAAGGCACTTGGCGGAGTCAGCAAAGCTGACAGCGCCAACCAGCTCAGCCTGGTTCCACTGTGGAACTTGTTCCGGTGAATCATTCAACTTTGCCCTGGTGACGTGGGCAGCTATCGAAATTTGGCCAGACTTGGCTCTCAGCTGAATTGTGGGACTACCTGGAGTTTTGCTCAGTTAGTCACTGAATTGACCGGTGCTGACAATCAGCTGAGGCTAATGCCACTGCAAAGATTTGCTTTGGGTGGAAACGGTCCCTAAAAGACACGGAACACCACGTCGCAACTGCAATGAGCTCCATTCATTCCTTTTTAACATTACCACATGTAGATCGATGTAAATCGTGTCCTCGATCTATATATATATAATATAATCAAGTGAAGGTTCCACAGAAGGCTATTGCTTGCGTCTTAGCGTAAGCACGCAAAGTTGGCAGCAACTTTAGTTGCCAGTCCCGGGTGACTATCAACCTCTTGCTCTCCGCTTGTGACACTTTTTGCCACGTTCCAAATTGGCATGAGCAAGACAATTATATTTTGTAAACCATATCCTCAAAGAGCAAATTGAAACCTGGTCTTTATGTCCAGTTTCCCATTCGTGTGGACAGCCTCTGTTCGGTGAATGCCACTTCGTTCATTTTTCAAGACCTCTAGCACAATCGGCTTGTGGGGCTTGGGAGATTTGGTTTTAATGGGAACCAGCAGATCAACCACTTGCGTTTGGTCCCTTGCACCGCTCGCAAGTGCTCAAGATTATTTGACTTGAAGCAGGCCCAGGCCGTGGGAATTTATAAACGGAAGCTGACCAATAAGAAACAGTGGAGATAGTGGAGAGTTGGAGAGTGAGGCAGCCGTGACTATTTGAATTGTGAGACACAAAGTTAATGCCAGTAGGCTAGCATGTCAAATGCCACAAGGAGACAGATCACGCCCAGACATTTGTGCTATGTCTTGCAGGTTGTGTGCCAGTTGCCAATATTTGCACCTCTTGCCATTGCAGGCCGAGAAACCATGGAAACTATGACTGAAGCTCCGATGCCGCCGATCTGTTTTTCTGATTGCAGTGGCCTTGGCTCTGGCTTCTGGTGAGTCGATGTCAAGGGTTTTACATTCATGCGTAATGTATGTGAAGTGACTTTCGACTTAGTGGTCCTACCAAAATTATACACGGTTCAACTGCGCCATTTCTTTACAAACATTATGACTTGGGCGATGCAGGGTCATTTGTGCAGCACGTGCAAAGGGAGGGCACTGCGACACTGTTCTTACGACTCGCGCGAAGACGTCATCGCAGACACTGAACACTTTGAATCAATTGTCAAAACACTAATGACTCTGTTCATTTGCTTGGTTGTGTTTTGTTTGCATGAACTGCGCAACTTGAAGCAATCTGAGCCTTGCCGCATTGCCTTTGTTCCGAGGATGTTTAGTCAAACATGCCGTGCCAATATTTTGAACCTGTGCTGTTTTTGGTCTGATTTCACCCAGGTGTGAATCCGAAACCGGAAGTGCTGGTCCAGCAGGTGATACCAGGAATACCAATAATAAAGTCCTTGCCCTAGCCCGCAAGCTTCTTCTCCAGACCACCAAGATGGAGTTGCATTTTTGTTTGCCACAGAAAGGTAGACTCTAACAAACGCGGATTCTTGTCTTGCTTTACTGAGGATAATAGCGATACCATGCATATGAGCTGTCTGAGCCTTATCCCAACACTGAGTGAACAGCTCGCGGCAGAACATATCCTTCTCGAACACCGACCTTAGCAGCCTTGGCCTGCTCCCTGCTCATGCTCCCTGCTCCTTGGCCTGCTCCTTGGATGTATGCCTGGCTGCATGAGGTGGGACTATGCTGGTTGCCAAAGCCCGCACAAAAATGCCGGAAGCCCTCACCTCGGTGCCGGAAGAGTTGCAAGATGCATGGCCCGTAGTACATTGTACATTGTTATCATAGAAAGTGTGCTTTCAATTCACCACAACCGCAGAATATTTTTAAAGCATCAGTGCGAGCGTTTTGGTGCAAGAGGTACCACCCATCTCTCAAGGTCAAGGCACCAGTCAAGCTGGACTCTAAAGACAGGCACCACAGGGAACTAGTTGCACCAACGACAAAGTCCAGTCTGACAAGCAGTAGAGAAAAGACACCGATGGCTGGAAGCTGCAAGCCTAAAACCAACATCTGGGAGTGACATTGTCACAGCAACACCCTTGGCAATCGTCGCTTTCATTTTTCTTGACATGTTCTTTCAATTTGCTCTGCTTCAGGTCAAGAAAAGATCGGCTCCATCGGCTCCAATGACAGGACCAGAGAATTTCAAGCCAAACATGGCAATTGCCGTGAACTCGATTCCCAAAAGGCGTGGCAAGCTTTTGGGGGGGCTGCCAGTGTTCAGCATCGTTTCAATGCTCTTCTGCAGTCAAGATCAATCAAGATTAAGCAGTCTAACTGCAGACTCGCATGGGCGCAGGAGTGTTGCAGACCAGGCTGGCAAGAACCATCACCTATTTATGTGCTGATTTGACTGAACACATGTCAAAATGCGCAACCTTGGCAATTTGCCTTCCACGCACTCCAATTTGCAAGCTGCAGGCCAGCAAAACAGCCACGCAAGAGCTTCGGTACCCCATGCAGGCAAAGCCGGTTCAGTTGGTGTGCATCAAGAATAAATCAACAAGAATGGCAGAAGAGAACTATTGCGAATAGAACAAAATAGAACATCCTTTACAGTATACATGAGATGAAGTCGAGAGATCAGTGAGTCTCAATGGTAAGACTGTAAGACTGCCTATTCTCATCGAGCCATGACTTTGCGAACGTGATCACAAGGGTCTTTCGTCTCAAGGCTTTGCTGCGTTTCTGAGGAGCTTTCTGCAGATGGTGGCGGACACCTTGAAACGCCTAAGTCCAGAAAAGCGGCGTGAGAGCATCGCATGAAACCCAGGTTTGTGTGTTTTTCGTCTTCCACTGTTGACCTGCGTGCAACCCACCTTCGTGGAACCGAGTAAGAAACAGGTGCACGCTTGCTAGTAGGTGACTGGCCATTTCTTTATTTTGTGGTCTTCCATGCGATGCGGCCCATTATGCTGCGTTGGGAAAAATGCAAAGACGCTCCCTCAAGCCAAGGCTCTTCTGGCGCCAGAGCAGCGCCTTGCATTGGAAAGATATATGATGGCTGCACCACGCGAGGCCGAGATATGCCGAAGCCGAACGGCACTTGTCCATGAGACTTTTTGGGTCCAGAATCACCATGTGTGACAGCTCGCTCATGTTTTTGAACCCTCGCTAGGCAATTCGAACCTATGGAAAGTGTGAGACGCCCGGCAGCCGAAAGCTTGGCATTTAGTTGACTTGCAAGAACTGTATCATAGATCCAGTGAGCCTGGTTGTGTTGACGCCTATGGCAAGGCCGGGCTCCACCAAATGAAGACGTTTGCAGGTTGGGACAGCAAGACAGAGTGGTGCCCAGTTGCTGGTGGAACGTACCACGGTCAGTCTTTGTTTAGGGAAGACGAGGACATGACGGAACGGGGCATTCTTTGGAATGTTACGTGTAGAATAAGACAGAAACACACTGAAACAGACACACATTGAATGACTGCCAATCACCGCTTTGAATCTGATTGGCAGGAAGCTAGCGACCTCGCGCAGGCAGAGGACAAACATATTTGAGAAGGCGCCAGATATGAGAAGGGTTTGCACGTGTAATTTCAGAAGCAGATTAGCTCCTTTCTCATTTTTTGTGCTTCAGACTATATACTGTTTCTTGTGGGCAAGAACTGCAGGTTGCACATCAGCCCAAGCAATCTGATTGTGCTAAGCTGACGCCCAAAGGCACAGGATCCCGCGACCATGTTTGAGTTTTGACTAGAAAACATGGGAAAGGAAGGAGGAGGGTCCGGAGGGTGTTGGGAGGCTTGAGCAGCAAGCGCACACGTGCCTTGATTGCACACAACTGTTGCTTCGAAACAGACCGAAGGCTGGACTCAAATAGCAGCACTGCACTGCAAGTTGCATCAAGGTGGCTTGACCTACTACTTTGCGAGTGTCGGCTTCGAGTCCTTGATCTTCCGCTGCCGTGCAGTTCGCAGCCGCGCCTTGTCTTTCTGAGCCAAAGAACCTGAGGTTGTGAGCCTGCGGTAAGCCGTAGAACCCTCAGCAGTGATGCGTAAAAAAGCATTTTTTTGCTTCACACAGCCATTTGGTCTAGCCAGTAGCCAAGAGTAATTACTGTATGCAAATTGAAAAGTGAACCCACAAATGCGGTCAACCCAGCCCTGCACAAACACCGCTGGATTATTGTCTCTATGGAAAACCCAATGGGACATTGTCGAAGGTTTGCGGCACGTGAGAGGCAACCCCGCGATATAACACCCAACGTCCTCCGCAGAGAGACGTTTGGCACCCTCGGAACGTCCAAAAGATCGAAGGTCCATCACGGTCTGCGCCTAGGTCTTCGTCTGGGCACTTGAGCGGCGCTCCCCATGCACTGACAAAGGGTATCTGAGGCAAAGGGGCCAAATAGATACTTTCAGCACACTGTCTGCTGCAAGCAAGCCATACCATTCCAGTTGTTGGCAGCCACACTTGTCGTTTGCCCTGTTTGACCACATACAGCCCTCGAACGACTTCTGGTCATCTCTTGTCATGTCCGACTTGAAGTGTTGGCACGTAGAAACCTTGAACCCAATGTGCACGTACACCGCCAGCTGTCACAATGAGATGTCAGTGGTGATGTGAATGCAGCATGCTAGTTGTGACAGCTGTGACGAAGATATTCGGTACTTCATCAATCCTGCCGTACTCCAATTGCAGCAATTCAAATTTGGAATGCATTCTTCGGGTGGCACAGTCTCAATTGTCATTTCATTTTTGTCATAGCTTAGGCCGTCATGTGCAATCTTCTTGTGACATTGTAGCACTGGACATGTGGCACTTGTGACATGTGCCTCTCATATGGCACTGGGGCCCGTGAGGCAATCCAAGGTCTACGCCTGGGTATTCCTCGAGCCCTTATGAAAGCGCCAGAAGAATAGATAACACTATGCTAAAAATCGATCTGTTTTTGGATTTTAAGTTTGCAGATAAGAACCAATGGGTTTCGGAGACATCGGAGACACCAATTCTATACATACATATATATATATATGTATATAAATTATACTGTAGATACAGTATTGCCCCATGGTTTTGCTGAATCATTTGTCCAAAGACCTTTCCAGTTCTCGTTCAAACCTCCATCCTGCCTTTACTTTCTGTGTGTTGGTGCTCAACATCAAGTGTCAATTCACTACAGAACTCTTGTCCACGGTCGATTGAGACATGGGCAGACTCTACAAGGATTTAACATGCAAACCGCAGCAATGCACAAAGCAGTGAGGGACCAAAGTTGTGTAATCAAGGTGCTGTTGCTCTCGGGCACCGCGCAGTCTTACTACGCTTAAAAGCCCGATGTGTCCATGGCCAGAAGCTTAGTGTCCAGCAAGGGTCACACTCAGTACCGTGCCCTCCCGTTCCAATGCATGAGATGATAGGACAACATAGGACAACATGTATCCACTTGCAGTGTTGTGTGAGAATGTGTGGATCAATTCGTCCAGTGTGAGGCCCTGTCACTGTATCGCACTGTTTCCTTGTGTTGCATGACAGATTGAACAATTTTTGTTTCATAACGTGTTCCGAATGCTTTCACCCGATTTCACCCGGACATGCTAAGAGCAGGCCCCGGAACCTTCGAGGAGCGCTTGGTTGCAGGAGCGTGGCCCTTGTACGAGGGGCATACACTGGACAGCACTTGATAGACCGTCAGATAGAGTCGCCTAAATCGAGCCTCTCTCTCCTTTTCTATCTTTTTCTGCCTTTTCTCTTTTTGATTTGTTTTATTTCCTTTCTTCTTTTGCTCTTTGGACCATTTCTTTTTTCCCACAGACAAGTTGAGAAACTCGTGGTCTTTGGATGTAGCTGTTGATGACAAAGTGCAAACTTGTGAAGACTTTTCCCATTGGGCCAACAGTTGAAGAGTCTGCCACTCTTCCAATCCAGTCAGGATTAGATACCTTTGTCGCACTAAGGTCTCTGCCTTGACAGATTCTGCAGACAGGCAGCTGCATGCTGATTCCACAATAGCCATAGCTGCAAGCGACGTTGCGATTCTGCGAATTTTGCCAACCTAAGACATTTGTATCCTAAGCTGTCTCTTCAAGACAAATTGCGATGGGTGTTTCTTCTAACCTCAAACAACAATTCGCGATATTGTTGGTTTCGCTGCCACGGTTTGTGTCTGCCAACTGACCAATCCTAATCCCGCAGAATCAGAAGGATCATGGGTCAATAGAATTGTTCACGTCTCTGTGTGCTCGAGGATTAGATTGAGAGACGGTGAATTGGTTCACAATGTTGTGTTCTTTTGTAGTGCAATATGGAACTGGCCGCCCCTTTCCGCTTGATTCCAAATGGTACCCTATAGTTTTTTGTGTAGGCTGGAAACAGGCTGGCAACAGAGTATCCTAAACTGAAAGTGAAGCTGGCAACAGAGTATCGTATGTGCATTGGTTGTTGAAACCCTGTGCTTCCTCGCCTTTGCAGGGATTGCATCAGTGGACTTCAAATCTGTGTGCGGAGTGCCGGGCTGCCAGGACGACCGAAAACCTTGTCAAGAAAACGGCTGCAATGCCCGAAACAAGAGAACCTTTCTACAACCTGATAAATTGTGTTAATTTATCTGTACTTCTGTACCTGGAATCTTTTGGTAATGACATCTCCGATGACATTTTTAGGAAAAAACACAAGTTGGCCGATGAGTTTTGTTTACAGGAACTTTGCTCACCGGAAACTTTACTTCAACATGATCGGATTGGACATATTTTCAAGCCACGTCAATCCGACGGGGAAAATTCCGATGAGCAAACTTAACTCATCAGAAAACCCAATCGGAGAGTTGGCCCTGGGAATTTAGGTGCATATCCTGGGATGCCATTCTATATAGTGGCAACCCCTGGGTTCAAAATCTATAGAATCAAGGTCTCCATGTTCTTTTGACCTTTTGAACTATTTGGAACATGGGAACCTTACTTCTATCAAGATTGATTGAATCCAACAGAATCAAGGTCTCCATGTTCAATATGCCGAGCAAAAATGGAGACCTGGAACATGGAGACCTTGACTCCAACACATTTGAACCCCGGGGTCTATAGAATGGTCATACCGTCATATCTGGGAAAGGGGATTCTGGAACATCCTTTGCCATGTTGCGATCTATCTTACAAGGCTACGCAGCACTGGTTGGGACGAGATTTGCACACGCCATCGTGGCGCCTTGGCCAGTGCGGTCGCCCAAAGGAAACGAAGAGCGCGAGCTGTGTCTCTTTGTAATGGAAGGTTATGCAAAGGGGACTGTTAAACATGGTTGTCCACTGATGGTGGTATCAGGGAAGAGCACGAACAAGTGGGAATCATTTGCCTATTATATAGCTGGTAAAGTAGCAAGTACATCAAAGGCTGTACATGCCTTATGTCAGAAGAACTCGATGTTTCTCGTATCATTTGAGCCCACTGCACATCAATACATCGACGTACATCATGTCTTCATCATTTCTCCAAATACAGCTTGCTTTTCTTCACTGTCCTGGCCTGAAGTTGGTTTTGGTTCCAAGTGCATCGTTTTTGTGCTGGGCATTTGAGGCTGGAGGCTGTGCTGGATGCTCGGCGACGTCTGCAGGCACTGGACGAAGCAGCAGACATGGACATGTGAGCCTGCACATGTTCAAACCTGTTACCTATGTAATAGTAATGGCCTCCAACCTACTAGCTATGGCCTCCAACCTAAGAGGACCATGCTGGACAGTTTGCTTTTTGGTTTTGTCGGATGGATTCCAGCAATTCATTTGCAAAAGTAAGCTTCTACCGACCAAGCACACTTGCTTCACTGAATCTGCTTAGAGGATTTCTTTAGCAGTGCACTCAGTGTTCAAGAGGCTGCCAGAGGCAATGTGATGGTTGGAGGATGTGGCTTGCTGTGCCTCTGCAGTTTTGAATGGATACGCCTGGCGCTTCTTGCATTGCGTTTGATCGATTGTATATCATACCACCCGGTTCTTGCTTGTTTTAAAGACATATGTCCCGACCGATTTGAAACAGGTACCAGTGCAGCATCGATGATGCCACAGATCTTTGGGCCTCATTCTGAGGGACAAATCCTGGTCGACCGCAGAACATGTCGCCATCTTGGGTCGCTGACGTTCCTTTCAAAGTGTTGTCAGGCACGCCTCCGACAAGAGTATTTGGAGGCGGAGCTGTGATTTTGACCATTTGGAAGAGGGATATTGAGCACAGGCCGCAGGCAAGAAACACATCAACATAACAAGTTTGGAACGAGTTTGAGTGTATTGAAGCTTTGGCATGATGATTTGATGCCAAAGACTGCCAGCAGGTCTTCCTAAGTGCCCTGATTTCGTGGGATGTTGATAATTGTCGAGCAGAACTCTTAGAGCCTTGTTGAAGTTGAAGCATTTTTGCTTCGCTGGCAGGTCTGTGCCTCAGTGCCAGGCTGCAATGTGCTGAAACGAGCCCAGACACTTGACCGGGCAGAGGCAGCCTTCGTGGGGCCTCTCAGACGCAGGAGCGTCTCGATGACCACAGTATTTGCACCAGCATGCAACTGCATTCATGCACAGCGATAGCAGCTATCATGGTAGAGAGAGGCAGGAGTGAAACAAAAAAACTCCTTTGCTGCAAAAAGAAACACTGAAGCACGAGACAGCATTATTTCGACCAAAGTTCTTCAGTCCAACGGCATTAATTCCATCTCTGCCTGTCAATGAGCCTTGCCTTCAAACCAAGGCTGCCCACCGCAGCAGGATGGAGGAGCCACAGTTCCTGAAATAGATGGTATCTGCTGACAGCAGACTGGATCATCACCATTTTCCATTGTTGGCCTTCGTGACCACACAAAGGCAACCCAGTCTTAGAGACACATCGGAGAGATTTGGGAAGCCCTGTTCTGGTGATCTTGTGGGCAATCAACATGTTTTCCAAGACTGAAGACACCATGATTGGAAGGGTATTCTGCGGAACCACCTTAGAAGCAGTTTTTGCAGCAAGAATGCATCTTGCATTGAGGGTTTGTGTACCGGGCAGGACCTTGCGAAGAGTCGCCAGGTGCGCCGTTCTGTACAGGAGAAGAACAAGCAGCTAAGAATCGAGAGGCAGAACGGGAATGTTTGGGTCGACTTGTGGGAAGCTTGTTTTGTGTCAGTGGGGAAGTTGGCCATACATTGTGTGATATAGATTGAAAAGCACGCGATGATTCCACACTTCCTTGACAAGCAGAGGAAGGAACGGCAGGAATTTGCTTGCCAACCATGAGAAAAAGCACGGTATGGCAAGAGCTCCCTTCAATAAGGGCTCTTTACATGGGCCCTTGTTAAACGCGGCAATGCATTCTTTTTACTGACTTTGATAGGTGCCAGCAGCGACAGCTGGCTCGAGCACAGCAGGTTCCGGCAGTTCTGCTGCTATTTTGTTGACAAAATGGCAAGAATTCTGAATTCTTGTTCATGTGTGTCCTGTTTGTGTCCTCATATCGCGAATGCTACAAGCACGACCAGTGTATGTGTATTTTCTTTTGTCCTTTTAATTTTCCATGATATTTCAAGGTAACGAGCGCCACTGTGACTGTTGAACATCTTTGGTAGGCAGCTGAGCGCATTCAGCTTCGAGACCAGAGGTGTGTGGAATGTGTCAAAACATGCTGCAAATCAGCTTTCTTGGACGAGAGATGGTTTAAGATCTTGATGGTTGAAGCCAATTGAACAATTTTCCACTTTAGACGACAGGAGCGAGGTGCCTGTAATGTGTATTGGCATGCATTGGCAATATCCATGCAATGCAGAAGTGAGACAAACATCCAATGGGCGTTTTTCTTCACAGTGTATTGGCCATGCTGATATCAAATATTCTTTTGAACTTGTCAACCCTGCTTCTGCATTTCCTTTTGTAGTTGGCTTGCCTACCTACCTGCTTGTCCGCCTGGCTGTCTGCTTGGTTGGCGGGCTGTTTGTTTGTCCCTTTGCGTTTGAGTCTGCCTGCCTGCCTGCCTGCCTGCCTGTCACTGTTTGTCCATTTGCCTGTGTAGGTGCAAAACTGCCAAAGCCCACATGAGTGCCAGCTAAACCTGCATCAGATTACCAGTTTGAGCTTGTGCAGATTTGTTTCCCGAAAACGCTTCCATCAACCCTCAGAAAGTACTGAGAAGTGCTTTGCTGGCGAGTTGATTCGTCGCCAGTGCAGGGCCCTTTGCAGCTTGGAGAAGCTGCTGGGGCGATGGAAGGAGAATGAAGCAAGACGTCAAAACTTCAAGTGTTGCAATTTCAATGAAGGTCCATGTATATATTTTATATATTTATGCATATATGTATATATATACACTGTAGTATACGTATTTAATTGAAATGACTGGTAGATCAAAGTCCATGTCCGCATTGTGCACGTGCTTTTGATTTGGCCCATTTATACCTGCAAGCTTTGACAGAAAGTCATCTCGTACGTCGCAGGCTCAGTCTTCAGGACGCTCGGTCTTTAGCATGTCCTGAGAGAGCACGGTAAGAGTTCCCGGCCCAGAGCTCGGGGACTGCAGTGTCTCCCAGTCCCCCGTCCCTCTTGATTCTTCAATCTGTCGGAAATGGACAGTGGACAGGTAGCTGCTCAAAACAAAACGGCCGAAGTTCCTGCACCTCTGGTTTCCTTTTGACTAGCAGGTTGACTGTAGATGCTCTAAAGCTTTGGCGAAGCCGAAACAACGATTTCATGCATGGTGCTGCGTGGACTAGCGTTGGCTCAACTGCAAGTAGGGACATGGATTGTGCCTGGCAGAACATTGAATGACAAAAAATCTGAAACTTTTGGTCACACAGAGACAAAGCCCTTGAACATGAAGAAGTCAAAGCCCACCGCTTTAGTTGACATAAATTGAATCTACAAGAATGCCATAGATTCCGCAGATTTGTGTTGCATTTTTCCCCTGCCCTTGCCATGGGATGTTTCAAAGATCAGCTGCAGAATGCAGGCGCTGCAACATTGTCATGATCTGAGTGCGGCAACTGAATGGAGATGAGCCGAAAGTCTTGGCGAAAGTGGGGAAAGCGGACACTTTGTGCAGACAAGTCAACTTGTTGCCTCCAGGCCATAGACCCGGAAGTGCTTTATCAAGTTTTCCGTCACTCTTACAGCCCTCATGGGCAGGCTTTTCGGTGGGCCTACTGCATGCTGGGCGGGTTTTGGCAAGATTCCGACAAACACATATTCAAATGCACTGGCATCCTCGCGTACTTCAAGACTTAAACTGTTTGTGTTATATGTAATTATAGTTAATTATATATACACACCTGTAGAGACGCATATTCTGACCCGCGCAAGGAGAGGCGGCAGGCAGAGGCTTTCTTGCAACAAGCAGCCTTCCGCCCCGGCTTATTGCCCGCCGGACATCCAGTCTTGAGCAGTTTGGTGATAATCTTCAGACTCAAAACTAGAGCGCTTGTTTCTCAAAATTGTCCTTAGTCTTGCGCGGACACTTCCACCTTCGGCCTCGGCACGACCGTTGCCCTAGTAGCGTCCTTGCTCCTAGTAGTAAGGCCAGGAGCCCCTAGTAGCTTCTTGTTCCTAATAGTCAGCGAATGTCGGCGAAACACAGGCCTTGCTTCATGTGACCAATGCTGCCCAAGAGGTTCCGATACGCCAGGCGGGAGGCTCTGAAGCTTTTGCCCAGTTCCTTCCCTCGTTTTCCGACCCGTTAGGCCGCTGCGATTCAGCTGAAGAATCAGTTGCGGCTGTGGGATGCAGCAGGCCATGGGCCCTTGGGCCGAAAACGACATGCCTTGCCTGACGATGCTGGCTTAGTCCCAGCATGTCGTTTGGTTTGCCTTCACTTTGTAACTCAACAAGCATGGTTGCTCAGTGTTGCTGCTAATGTTGGATCTTATGTAAATAGTAAACCCCGCCCCTGGCAAACAGTTGAAAGAGAGTGAATACTGACAGCTCACAAAAATTAGCAGTCGTCGTGCTGGTGGTAGTGGCAGTGGTAGTGGTAGTAGCAGCAGTAGCAGTAGCAGTAGCAGTAGCAGTAGCATCAGAAAAAAAGAAAAAACAGAAAACTAAGCTCTGATTTCTTTCCAGGGCCAAGTTTGCGGATGATTCCAACCCCCTAAACAATTCGTACGCTTAACTTCCTTTGGGCTTGTGTGTGTTTGAACAATTGTTGGGACAATGATTTCGATGAGTTTAATTCAGTTTCAATTCTTTTTTTAACGACATCTTTCAGGGGTCAGAGTTCCAGGAATCAAGAAAAACCTCAGGAGAGGTTAAGCAAGGATCTGGAAGGGAAGCAATAGCCAAACAATAGAATCGCAGACAAACCTGCTTTCACAAAAAGAACTGGGTGTTTTTGTTTTTAAATATATATTTTTTTTTACAATTTCCGAACCCATATATAAACCCTTCAGGTCGAGTGCAAGTTTTTTTTTGTTATTTCCTCCCTTGACTGTTTGGGCTTGAGCTTTATAGCCGCATGGTAGCCAGCCAGAAGCAGCACTGACCCACTTTTAGGTGATAGCGGGAGCTATTCAGAGGAGGACAAGGCGGGAATCGTTTCCACACATTTTGGACAAGAGCCCCGTGTTAAAACGACATTCGAATGGTTTGGTGATTTGGACAACCCTGGCCGCAGAAATGTGACCAGCTATGGCCCGTTTTGGTGTTGTTGCAGACATACTGCTTGTCTCAATTGGTTTTAAGTTTGTGCGTGGGGATATGAGCTGTGGCCAAAACTAGTATATACTTTGCTAACGGACGTTTCATTGCCTTTAGTAGGATTCTTTCCAGACACGATAGGTAACTGCCAACAAACGCTGGAAAACAGTAGATGATGCCTAGTATATAGATATATAGATGAATCAAGCCCACATAAGCCATGTTGACGCTGCCTCATATGCATCAAGGCACCTATCCGGCGTGAATTGGTTGAAAGCCTTGCTGCAGCTGTTGGAGAGAAGGGCGTCACTCAGACCTGTGGTAAATTATGGTAAATCAAAATGCTGTTTGGGCTTGTCGTCCACATGTTAAGATTGGATAAAATTTCTCTCCGCCTGCAGATTTTTTCCTAGGTACGTGTGCAACTGGTTGAGTGCTTTCGTCTAGTTGCGGGCACCTGAGAAACTTCCATGCTCCAGCAGAATGCAAAAACCCAAATTTTAACTTAAGAACAACTTCCAAGCCGGTTTCGTCTTGCACAATTGCACAAACTCGCTTTGTAGTCTATCAAATCGTATTGGAAGTGTCCTGCGGCAGAATGCGATGGAACTCAGGCTCTCTACGACTTTCCAGACCGCTGGCCAGGCACATCGCAGATTGACTACAGAAAACCACCCCGAGATTCCATATTCCACAGTGCTCGGTAGGAGAACTAGCTCTTCTTTCACCTCCAGCCAGGCATAGTGCAGAGGCTTTTAGGCGGCCTTTGCTCAGAGCAGCGCGACACGGCCTTAAGCCTGAATTCCTCTCGCTTTCCTGCTCTTTCTTCTGTGAGACGCGATGGATCTACTTCTCTTGTGCTCCCTGCTATCTAACTCACGCTTCTTCAAGTCAAACTCCAGTTGATACTACGAAAGGGTGAACAAAAACACACACACACACACACATGCTGTGAACATCTACGATCGTCAATACAATCATCACAGCTCACAACCAGAAGCTTTTTGATAGACTTCAGAGCCTTGTACACTCAGTATCGCACTGACGTCGAGACTTGAGGCTCAGACGATGTGTAGCTTGCTGCTCTTCCGGCAACTTTTCAAACTGTTGGAGACGCGCTCCGCCTCTTGGAAAAACTTTGTCAGGCACATTTGTTTGATGGTTCCACGCTAGACAGGAACAAAGTTTGCAAGAAGTTTAGGTCTTTTATGCAACAGACTGTTGGCACCGGTTGTTGTCGGTGTTCCTTCAAGGCAAAAGACAGGGATGATTTACTAAAGCTTGTTGCAAGTTTCGTCCTTGGTTGCACCTCCTCTCTCTCTCTCTGTGTCTCGTTGCCTGGCTTAGTCGTTTTTCGCTCTTACTCCTCCTCTCTGTCGATGCTCTTCGCACTGAATGATCTATATTCACTACTCCGAATATTCCAGTCACTGACAGTGACCGACTGACTGGACTGACTCACAGACTCACCGACCCACTGTCTCTCGCGCTCTGTGTCTTTCTCCTTCTGCCGCTCTTGGCCATTTCTCTTGCCTTTCTCCATTCTCTCCCCCGATTCTCGCTCCTCTTCTTTTTTGCTTACCTGCTCCCAGGCATAATTATACAATGGCCGAACGAACCACAGCCTGCAATCTGTAGCATCATCCGCAGGTACAGCCAAAACTTACCAGCTAAACCCCTCAAGGACCCAACACTTATTGGACAGACTCTTGCCAGGCATCATCCCCGTTCTGCTATTCCTCGTACACATGCGTAGAATCGGGGTTGGCGGAATTTGACATGGATTGGCAGAGATTCAATTTGGGCAAACCATGCACAGTCACCACGTGTAGTTACATCACGTCCTTTTGATATTGTCAGCTCTAAAATGGGTACATGACGAATTCAGGCAGAGCGTCGTGGAGAGCTGCAAGCGCTTGCAGCTCAATGCATGTGATGACCTTGGCTCCAAACCTGCGAGACAGCCGCTTTGCCGCTGTGGCCCGGCCAAGGCCTACTTTGCTACAACTTAGTCCTGTTCTGGCCAAAGCTGCCAGTGCAAAGTCTCAGGAGGCAAGACGTGCAAAGTGGGTAGAGTCATGTCCAGTCGTTATTTCTTGAGGTCAGTCAGACAAGAACGAGGAACTTAAGATGGATAGATCAGATGTGGATGTAGAGCAAACATTGGAGGCCTTTGAGATGCTGAAACTGGTGTGCAGCTCAGAGCCTTGTGTGCTGTTCACCGTTCACCAAGGATTCAGAAAATCTAATCTACCTGATCTAAACCATGACAGCTTCATGGTTGATCTTTTGGATGGATCAGGGCTTGAATGCAAAGAAGTGCGTACTGCTGTGTTGAGGTGCTGAAGTGTTTTTACTCAGCGACGCGGATGGCCTTGCCTGAGCAGGTTCAGAAGGAAAGGGCCGAAGATCAAGCCGAACCTTTTTGGCTGTAAAAAAGCTTTAGTGTGTTTATGACACATATATTTTGGGGTCTAATTTCCGACTTAAGATTTGTTTTATATTTCAGGATATCCAGCATTGGATGGAGCTGTTGCTCACTGTGGGTCGCCCAGACACATCGAGTTTCGGTTTTAACGACAAGTAGAGCCTCAGGAAGGATGCCCCGCTTCTCACATGTCTGTCCAACCCTATCCATACTTGTTGGATATTGACGGGCCTCAAATTCAAGGTTTCTGAGTGGCAGCTCGAGACACCTGCAACAGGTTTGGAGCGCGAGGCAGGTGTTTGGGACTTTCGGTTGGAATCGGCCAACCAACCATTGCTCGCGCTCACCAGCAAAGCAAGAGACGTGCGTGGGCGTGACCTGTTTCGTCGCGTAAGCTGTTTAACATTCACTGAACACCTCTACAGAATTTCTAGTGGGTGATTATCTACACTAGCAGCATCTCATGATCATGACTTCTTAAACCTCACAATCGGAACCCCAATGCAAGGGCCCCGGCACATCTAGCGTGGGCAGAAGGCATCTTCTAGATTGTGCGACATCGTGCTCCGAACATGATCACGGGTTGTCAGCTGCTGGGTTTATCTGTTTTGCTGTTGTTCAACTGTTGTTCTGCCTTTTTTGGTATCAAACTCTCATGACCTTGGATTTTCCAGGTTCAAGAGGCCAGTTGCGAGGTAAAGTGTCGAAAGTGGGTCTTTCAGATCTTGTGTGGGGCCTTGGACACAATCCGGATTTGAGATCTTGCTTTCTCAATTAGAAACAAGTGTATCGCTACTAGTAACAAGTGCCTTACTAGTAGTAACAAGAAGATACTTTTTGACTTGCTTCTGATGTCAAGCGTTCAAATTGGGCAGCAAGAGTTGGCAAATGCTGAGCATTGGACTATCCCTGGAACACATGCAAAGGTTTCTAAATACCGTTACACAATTAAAAGAGCCAAGCATGGGCTGTTTGTGGTGGGAAACATCGTCCACTATGACATGATTTGTTCGGACTGGACTTCATGACCCGCGAACTCAACCACATTTGGACACCAGCCAAGGTTGAGATTCTATCAGAAACATTGTCACATGCGACGCGTGGCAGAAGGTATGGAAGCTTTTGCAAAGGCAAGGTCGGACTTCAGTGTCACTCAGATGTCCAACCAGAAGACGGCCCAAGTTCAACTATATATATATATATGTGTTTCCCTAAACTAAAAAATCTAAGAACCAAATCAGTGCGTGAGCTATCGTGCGTCCATGTCTAGAAGCGTCCTACTTAGCTAATAACTTTGGGGCTTTAAAACAACAACTAAATACTGGGAGTGCACTTCCGGATTAGAGTTCTTCAGTTTGCCTTTGGGCCAGGCTTGGAATGATGCCTATGAGGCAGGGCTTCAATTTATCCTTCAAGCTTGGAGGGCCAAGCTCTGCCAGAGTCGTTTGTTTTGTTCATTTTGTTCCCATAGTGTATCTCAACCGTGCAGTCGGTTTTGTAGTGGAGACAGCCAGCCTAGTTTGGTGAAACCTACCAGGTGCCTGTGGCTCGCGTTTGCCTCAAAGAGGCCTGTGCTGGGCCACAAGGCCGCTGCTAAATGGGGCAAATAGATGCAAATAGAGTCCATTTGGAATCTCATTCGCAATTTGTGTATGTCATTCCAATTTTTGCAAATTTGACATACACAAACTCAGCGGTCCGTGGAGCCTAAACGGATACCATAGGCACCTGGGCGCCGAAGCGATCCCTTAGCCTAGCTCTGTGCTGGAGCTCAGAACTGAAACCAGCTTCCACTGTGCCCGAGAAGCTGCCAGCTCTTGGATGTTCAAGGCCTTTGGAAGCTTTGTTTCTAGTGATGCTTTAAGAATATTCAGAGACAGTTGTCATGTTGGCTCCTGTTGGGGTGTCGAGACTGAGGTTGTGCTTGGCGGAGGCATGCCGAAGGGAGGCTGCCTTCCAGGACAGCAGCCTCCAAGCTTTGCTTCTGGCACTTTTGTGTTCGTTGGATGCCTTTTTGGTTTGATAATCGGAGATACTTCGTTCAACTGCCTTCGCTTCGAGGCTTTGAAGCCCAATTTGCAACTGCTCTTGGAGCATGGCATTTTCCCGCAGGACGTGCGCGCGCACATGCGAGGGGTGAGCGATGAACCTGACACAACTTTGCTGTGCGCTCTCTCGCAAACCTGGGCTGAGGGCATCTCGTGGGGTCGTTTTTAAGGGAAAAGAGAGCTACTAGTAGCTCCTGGCATCGCTATTAGTAAGAAGAAACTACTAATGGGCGCAAGAAGCAACTAGGGAAAAGATCAGACTTGAGAGGGGATCTGAACCATCAGCAAGCTTAAGGCGGAGGTCTATTGCATCAAGCCCTTCAGTGAAGATTGTTAACTAAGATTGTTCACCTTAAGACTCAAGACTTTGACTTGAGGTTTGAAGGTCTGAAGAGGGGATGAGGCTTCACCTTAAGGTTCAAGGAGAGGGCCTATATTAAAGCGTCTAAGTTTTAAGCTCTGGAAACGACACTCGGAATGGTATTGAGTGTCTGGAGGTCCACATCGTCATTTCGGACAAAAGAACCATTCTGGCAACTCATGGTGGGTTGGCTTCTGACCCGTTGAGAAGCAAGAGACGTTAATGACCGGGCCGGCTGCATCGGATTGAGGGGTTGAAAAGGACCCACGTGTCATTGCTAGAGCCCGTCTGAACCCTCCTTATCGAGTTCAGATATCGTATATAGTAACAAGAAGCCACTAGGTGGAGACCATCGCTTTTAGGTTGGAGGCCATCGCTACTAGTAGCTAGAAGCTACTAGTAACAAGGCGGATCATTTATAATTTCAACGGAACGCTGGTCTCTGAATTGCCAGGTCCGCTTTGGAGAGGCAGAGCTGCAGCTCTGGCAGGAGGATCCGGAGGCAGCCTTGATCCAGCCGATAACTAGCGTTCTTGTTAAAGGTTCAAGACCCAAGTCTTGTACTTGGCCTGTTTGACAGACCTGCGGGAAATTTCAGTAGGTATTGTTGTGCCATTGGGCGTGCAATTTCACTATTCTTTTATGGATCCGCAGACCTCCTGTAACTTTGACCCGCAACAGTTCTTCACAGAGCACTTTCACTGCACAATGCAACGCTCACCGCCGCTCACCCTTTGTTTAAATGGAGTCTTCTTGACTAAGTGCGGCTTTTTCAATCAGTTGCCTCAAAGAACTACATGCAGGCATTTTGCAAAGGATAGGATGCTGGTCTGCTCGGACACCGTTTGACACTCACACCTGCTGGCTTGTTTGCCCACTTGCTTCCATCTGACCAGGGAGGAGATGTTTGCAGGAGGCCTTTTTTTACCGGCCTGATCCCGCTTCCCTTTTTGTCTCAGCTTCACATAGCTTCACTTGATTCATCTCAATACATCTCAATTGCTTTGTTCCGAATTTATCGCGGCTCAAAACAAACCTCTGGTCCGCTCTACTAAATCGATTTTCTCGACATCTAAAGGTCATTGATGTCATTTTACTTGGCTTCATTCCGTTCCTTTTTCCAGTTGCCCATCGTGCCAATGTGAGTCGAGCTTGGATGAACTACGTTGATTTGCGATGTGATTTCCATCGCCACCTATGACCTCACAAAGCGCTGCAACATGCTGCAACTGCAACAACCAATCATTTATATAATTCAATGCTGTTCGCCATGAAAAGCTGCAATGCGGCTCGAAGATTCATTTCCGAAGCAATATTTCTCGTGAGGTCTCACAGGAGCTTTCCATCCTTGAAACGTTTCCAGGAGTTGCTAAGAGAGCTGACGAGCGCTTGCGACTCTGACTCCGAGCCCCACCAGGCCACATGGCAAGACTGCAGTGACAATAGGCAAATCGTGCCAGACCGTTTCCAGATGGCAGGCTGCGATTGAGCTGGTGGAGCGACTTTTGCTTTACCATCACAAGGATTAACCCGCCCATGAAATGGACCTATCAACAAAACGTTGTCGCTTCCTTTGTGTTTTCTGGAAACACAGAACGACTTTGCAGAGAACAATTGTTGGCTCCTGGGGTCCCTCGACAACTGGCGCTGCTCATGAATCTTGAGGAGATTCTTTTGCCGCTCCTTCACTTTTGTCGTCAGCATTTGGAGACAGAGGCTGGGAGCTTGCGATATATATATATATATCGAGGCATGAGAGCGGCAACCAACCATTTTTGGGCAATCCAAAGATGTGTCAGGCCAACGATCCAGCCGCCTGCTCCAATCAGGAGAGAGAGAGAGAGAGAGTGAGAGTGAGAGTGAGAGTGAGAGTGAGAGTGAGAGTGAGAGAGCAGAGGTGCATCAGGTGCATACGCTTTTTTTTGCTGTATGCAAGGTGTGAAAGGTACCAGTGACATGAATACTCGGATTGCAAACTTGTCATTTGTGTGTGCTGAAGACCACAGTAGTTGGCCCACGGTTGATATCGCGCCGTGTGGTTTCGGGTGGTTTGAACCCCCACCAGCCCGCTGCGGGTGGGTGGGGTGGGTGGGGTGGGTGGGGTGGGTGAGGGAGTAATAGCGTTTGTTTTCGATCCGTTTTCGATCCGCGCCTCAGACTCGCATGTCGCAGTCTTGTATCGGTCCAAGTTTGAGGTTTAACCACAGGTTAAGGAGACAAGAGTTTAGCACCAAGGAGACATGAACAGGGCTGCGACATCACTCAAATGACAAAGTTTTGAATCGGGTGTAACATTTCTTGCAGTCAACATGGACATTGGAGGAGGCGGTCATACCGGCGCTTGCGCATGTCTTACTCTTGCGCTTGGCCCGTGTGCAGACTCCGCGCAATGACCTGTTGTCATGGTGGACTGTTTGCATGATCTATGTGGATGATTTGCACAAAGTCTCAGGGTTGGAACGTGGTGACATTTTTTGGATATTTGTGGGCCGCAGAAAGTTTCCATGAGAAGCAATTCAACATCTATGCTGACTAACTAAGGTTCCTAGTGCTTTGACAGCCGGATCTTGATTGGGCCGGGCACACCAATGAGACGTTCACAGACCAAACTGGGCAACTGCAAGAGAAATTTATAAGATGCGTGACGCTGCGCCAGAAGCGTGTGAAGTTGGTTCTTGGAGCTCAAAAGCGGGGATGTATCGGGCTGGGTTGTCGTTGAAGTCTTGGCTTCCTCCACGTTTTGTCGTGGCAGTGGAAGGAAGCCTTGGGCAACTGAGTCCACAAGACCTGTTGCAAGCACTGATCGCCCTGCAGAAGTGAAAGTTTGTTTAAAGCTCCGTGGGGCGGATGTGTCCTTGACTTGGACTACCAACTCATTTCTTGGGACAAATGTCCAAGATCTACTTGACCAGAAACTCAGACTTGGGGGTATACATGCTACAAGATGTCTTCAATGCAGGTTGAAAGTAGTCCCCGAGTTTTCAATACCACGTTTCTTGACGTGAAGTGAAGTGGCCAGGAGGTTCCACATCCGAACGCCAATGGAATTAGGAATAAAATCAGGTTTCCCGTTAAAGCCCAAGGAAAACAAACGCGTTGACGCTGCTACCCCTGATTTGACACACGGCATAATAGCCGCCGAGGGCCCACGGGTGCAACAGCAAAGATGTTTTCGACAAACATTTTGCAGTACTGGTGTGGGTGTCAGCCCATGAGGACGGCGCCTTGGTTCTCCTTGGTCTCATGGTCGAGTATTTGGTTGAACTGGACCCAACGCAGATGGAGGAGGTGGAGGCAAGTCACGCGAAGACGGGGACAGCGAAGGGAACAATGTGACAAAGCCATACAAAGCCAGCGCATTTTCATATGTTTTCCGCCCAAAAATTATACCAGACTGAACTTCAACAAGCATTCACGATATGTGATAAAAGGATCCACCGTTCTTCTGGTTTGACAGGCCAGAAGAAAGCGGAAAGGCACTCAGCGAAAGGCACAACAAAGCGTAAGTGCTTTGGCAGCAAACATTGTCGATCTTCATCGCCAAGGCTGCCATGAACAAATTTCATTGCTGCTGTTTGTCGGACTCTGGGTCCAGTAGTCCGAAAAAACATTCTCTCTTGGCCACCCAATTTAACAAACAAATGACAGGAAACGCGGACAGGGCCCTTTTAACATTTTTTAACAAGGCCCCTGTAAAGCGGCAAAATGCATTATTGAGGCCCTTACCTTCATTTTCTGTCATTTCTTTCAATCCTTTGTTTTTGTGGCCTTTCCTGGGGTGTTCGCCTAAGGTGTGGAGGAATTGATCTCGCGTTACGTGCGACCAGCAATGACCTCACCAGCTGCCTTCCTGCGTGCGCCAAACGGCAGCCAGGTTCGCGCGACATGAACAAGACGGCCAGTTTGAATCGTTGCCAGGCCTTCGTGGTGCTTGGTGCCTTGGAAACTTTGCGCAGAAAGCCCCGAAGCTGGGACGTCCAGGAGTTGCAGCAGGCGCTTGCTGCGACTGCCTGAGGATGTTGGCAGATCAGGAGCCAGTTTCGATGAGACCATGAGAGGTCCGCACCTGTGATTCATACCCAGTACCATCAGACACATGTTGGAGCTGGAAAAGGCCGTGTAGCCAATGTGTTCAAAGATCAACCTCAGAGGCTTTCTCAATCTTCCTGACCCTTAGGTCAGGTAGTTCATCATGTTCGCCTTGTGAACAACCCTTATGAGTGCTTAAGAGGTTGCAGCAACCGCTTGCGAGTGTTGCTCGCAGTGATCCCTTTCCAGGATTCTTGCTCGGGTGTTCTGTTCGCCAGGAGCTGCCCGTTCGAGTCTTAGCTGCTAGCTGCTTGGAGTCCCTGCTGCAGAGAGAGGACGACGAGGCGCTGCGCAGAGTGCCGTGGTGGGATCAAAGATGAGCAAAACAACGGACTTCGGTGACTTCGCTCCTTCATTTTTGCAACTGCAGCCTTGGGTGAGCGTCAGTTTTGGGGATCAAATCATATGAAGCATATTTATGGGCAGAGCTCAGGACTTTTCAAGCAAACGATTATACAACAGTTAACAGCGGACCCAAAAGTGGATAGGCTTTCAGCTTTACAGAGGGACGGCCCTCGAGTTTGGTGCAGGTCTCCTCAGCTGTTGGGATGCAGCTGGCGCCAGCCATGGAGTCACTACTGCGGACACTGGGAGAAGTGCAGAGTGAGGAGAAGAGCAAGAAGAGCGAAGTGCAAAAGAAAATAGAAGAAACACGATGGAAAAGCCTTACCCTCCTTTTGTAATATCTTTTTTTCATTGTATAAACACGTTAAACACGTGTACTATCTTCCCTTGACAGCATTGCTTTGAGATTCATTTGTTTTTCCTCCAATTTGTGGTTCCCGAGCACTTTTGAAAGAATCGAATGGGACATGCAAAGCTTTCTGAAACAACATGCTGGCTGACCCACAAAGTGTGAGGAAGTGGGGTCCGCATTGCAAAGGCTGGTGGAAGCCTTCCCATATGAGGCTGGTGCAAAACAGTAATTATATGCTGATGCTTTTGGGGTGGGAAAAGATGTACTTCCCACCATTGCTGCGAAACAGGTTGTACCTTTTGCAGCGCAACTGGTGTCTGGCCTAGCAAGACAGTTTTGTGCCTTGGAAGCACGAATGGAGCTACCGGGAGTTCTTTCTATTTTGTGCTGGGTAATGAGAGTTGTAGGTAGGAGTCCCGAGTTTTAGCGTGCTTCTGTGTTCTTTTAGTTTCAACTTGGCTGAGAGCTGCAAAGGCCTTTCTTCTTCCAAAGATGAAGAAGATGATGATGCGGATGAATCAGAGAGCCTCAGCTAAGATCCTTGTTGGGAGTCCTTCTTGCTACAGCGTAAAGGTATAGCGAACCTGAGGATGTCTTCTGCTGGCGCCTTGGCCACCATCATCAGCGTGGGCGGCTCATTCAATCATTCCGAACGTTGCATGAAAAAAGTTGCTATCATAAAACATTGTGAGCAGAGACATCAAATTCCTGCGTGTAGGTACTTCAAGCATGCTCCGGCCTCCAGCGCCCGGAGGACAAGCTTCGTCAAGTGGTGCAGTCCATTGACAATTCCAATCGTGGGTTGAATGCAAGTTGTTTAGTGTTTGCTCAGCCATTTGGCTCAATCATGGATCAGTGCGACTCACCAAGGGCTTTTCAGCTTGAAGGGCTTTGCAGCATCTTGGAGAAATTCACAATCTCGAGCTCTTTGCGAGGTCATACTTCTAAAGCTCCTTTAATATGTTTCAGTCGGCAAAATGCAGCCATGTCAGCGTCTTTCCGCATCTTCGTTCGAGATGCGCAGAAGGACTGCTGCATTGTCAGATTGATTGGTTTTGTGCCGGACATCTTCAGGATTAGCTCCACAATTTTCCAAGAGAGTTTGAGCTATTTGAGCATTCAGCATTCGTTTGAGATATGGTCTCAACCTGTTAGATGCACATCACAACATTCTTTCACTTGGGTTTCACACTGCCTTCAAGATATTTCTGCCTCCTCAGCAATTCTGTGCCCCCATTTGTTGCTGATGTTGGCCGTACTTCACACAACAAAGAACAGCAGCAGTGCATATTTCCCAAAGAAGTTCTACCTTGCCTTGAGTTGTTCACCTCATACGAGTAAAAGCTCCACAAGAAGAAAACCCTTGCATGACAATACACCATTCCTGTTGTCACCTTGTTCTTGTTGATTTGTGTCTGGGCGGAGACGCTCGGGCATTCAACTTTTTGATGTATCTTCTTTATATAACCAGTCTATTGAGTGCAGATTGCCAGTTTTCTTTCAGTTCATTGGGGTTATCAAGTGCTTTTGCCCAGGGGCAGCGGCTGGTGGCTGGAGTTCGTAGGGGCTTCAGTGTGGCCCGGCTCAAGGAGAAGTTTGCTCCGGAGGCAGCTGACGGGGCAACTGACCATAGATTTGCAAGGAAAAGAGTGGCGGACGTTCATCAATAGAAGTCTCCAAGTGATTTTGCCCAAGCACTTGCAGGCACAGGTTGCAACCAACCTCAAGTCCATGCGAGTTTATAGGGGAGGATGTTTTCATCCACAGTTTTGCCCAACTGCATGGGCCTTTGTGCTTGCATGCGATTGAAACAGGCGCTTTGGGCCATTGATGGCTTCACGATACCGAGCTGGGAGTGCGCCAGCCAGGTGGGATCTCGTTCTGCTGGAATGCTGCAAGTTGAGATTCTACGAAGCTGAAGCATTGATACTGTATTGACAGTCTTCCAGAGGTTTATGACATTGTCCAGCCCTCCCATGTTAGATGCGAACCTGCAGGACAATATACATTGACACACACACATATATAATCATATATAGAAATATGTATTACACGCTCTCAAGATTAAGTACGAACAAAGGCGAGTGGCCGCTGCTCCAAGAAGCCTCAGTGAAAAAGAGGCCTAAGTGCTTGAGCGTCCTCAGAATAGGTGTGAAAGCCTAAGAAAGCCCGGGATAAGGTATGTAAAGCGTTCTGACCATGACCAACTCGTGACTGCAGTGAAGCAACCGCTGCAAAGGCCAGAAGTTTGTTCTAGTTCTAGTTAGGAACGGGACCAAGTTGGAAATTCTCAGGTAAAACTGCAGGTACGTGTGGCTGATCAGGCCAGATATCAGCACGGAGTTTGACCCTCTTCTTTGGATCGCCAGTCAAGTCCGTGGTCGATCCCCCTGCTGAAGCCGACATTGAGTCCAAGGCACGCCCCCGTAGACGGGTGCTAAAGTCTAGAACTAGGGCTCAGACTAAGGTGTAGGTATGCACGCGCAGAAGACAAAAGGATGAAGACATGAGAGGAAGACAAGACAGAACAGTGTAGGTGGTTGCGATGAAAAGGAACCAAGTGAACAGGAACAACCAGATGAGCCATACCTGATTATAACAACTTGAGCGACCTCAGACCTGGGCTTCATGTACGGGTGCACGTGTGCGCTAAGGGCCGGACCGATGTGTGCGCAAAAGAGAGAAAGGAATGAGGTGACAAGACGTGAAGGCAAAAAGACATGAAGAGAAAGAGGAAAAAGAGAGCGCGTGCGGGGAAAGAAATCAAAAGGGAAGCTAAATGGAGGGGCCGAAAAAAAATGAAGCCGTTTCTCATTAACGGACCTAGCGCCTGGCCTAGTTTATGTATGTGCTGTGTGTGCACCTAAGGTGGGGACAGGCCCCAATGGGCCTTGAGAGAACTGCGGCCGCTGCGACCTACTCTGGGCGTTCAGCCTGCTCTGGCCCGCTTCGGGCTACTCATGGCCTTGCCGCACTGGATGCCTGCTCAAGCTCCACAACAACCGTCAGGTCTCAATCAACGTTTGGCATAAGCCTCCTACGCTCGCTGCAAGCTGCTCTG